GAGTACCTTCATTCTTGGACCACGTATTTCTGTCTTTGTTAAATAAATATTGCCATAACAGGATCAAAAAGTTATGTCGTCAAGCCAGTATTTCATTAGGATGCACTAAACTGTGAACGATATTTGTGAGGGAGTTTCAGAAAAAGAGGATCCAGATGGTTGGATCAGTCTGATTTAGTGATTTGTGACTAAAGAGTGACAGAAAAGGTCAAAGGAAAGATTTACAAGAAAGTCGAGAGACCAGCTGTGTTGTATGGATGGAGACAGAGACATGGACAAAAAACATGAAGACAGAACTGGAAGTGTCAGAACATGTTGAGGTTCGCCTTGGGAGGGACRAGGATAATGTAGCAGTTGAAACAGAAGAAATTTGCTGGAAAAACAGAAGTGCAGAAAACAAACACTACAGATTGATTTGTTCTGTTTAACGTATCCTATAACCTGACCTTATCTGATTGGCCAGGAGGCGTGTCCTTTAGCATCTGGTTAGCTCTTTCCAAAACAAACTCCACTTCAGGCTGCTTCAGGTGGACTTCATCAATGAGCTGTGGCAGCAAGCAGAGGTCTTTATGGGCACAGAATTCACTTAGATTTAGTTCAGTTTTTGTGTTCTGGCAAAAACTGTGTCTCACCTTGGCTGGTGGCTCCTCAGGACTGTTCTCAAGTTTAGTTCTAGTGTTTGACGCCCACACTGACAGGTCTTCCAGCTGGCCCTGAAGCTTCCCAAGCTCCTTTAACAGACCTTCAATTTCCTGCTGACGCTCAGGCAGAGCCTTGGACACCTAAAAAATAAAGACTCACTGTTACTGGAGATGCACCGATATGAAAATTCAGCTGATTTCAATAGTCGATATTGTTATTAGTGTTATGGCCAATAACCAATATTTACAGATTTTACACAAACACACAAATTTTTTATCTACATATACACACAAACACACCTGTGTCTTTTTCAATGCTATAAAAAATGACCAGACCGCTGAAAGGACTCTATTTCAGTTATTCCTGGCTGCGAAGCATCACTATCACTATCATGATCAAACAGATACCACTTGACCAATTATTTCCCCTACCAAAACAGAAACACAAAGCTAAAAAGTAGGAAATCAATATCAGAGGTTAATATTGGCCCATTTATACTTAATGGACCGATACTATTCTAAAAAATGACCAATACCGGCAGATACCGAAGTTAATGCAGAAATATCGACCATCCATAACTGACTTACTTTGAGTCCTTTGTTAATTCATGAAGTAAAATATGTACAAAACTTCATGATTACTTTTTTTACTCTGTCATTTGACAAGAAGGGCATTTTTACAACTATTTTATGTAATCATGTTAACCAAAAAGAATACTTTAAAAATGTTCAATCTGTAGTTGAGAACTGCGTGATGCAAAAAGGAGAATCAACAAGCCTAACACTGCCCAGATGGGTTAGTTTATCATTTCGTTTATCATCTTGTTTTACCTTTAAAATTGGATTCAGAACCACAGAACCAGATTCAGATTTTATTGCATTTATGTGAAGCCCCATAAATTTTGTTGAGCTTTTTGCTGTAATATTTGCTGACCTGAGCCCAGCGAGTGTTGATGCGCCTGATGTCTTTCTGTTTGTCAGCAGGAATGTGTTTCTGCTTGGAGTTCAGATCCTCCACAACTGCCTTTTTAGCAGGAAGCTCATCCACACGGGCCTAAGACAGAAACACAGTGAAAATTAAATAATACAGTAATATTACTGATCAGGAAGGGAAACAAACTCTTATAGTAATTAAAGTGAAAAAAATAAAGGAATAAATATATGTAATGAAAAAAATGTCATCTCAGTAATTAATCCACGTAGAAAAACCAAAGAAAGGTTAAAGGGGACCTATTATGCAAAATTCACTTTTTAAAGTTTTTTTTTTACTCAACTATGAGTATGTACTTCTTAAAAAAACAGTCCTAGGACCAAAAAAAATGCACCCAGGGGCATATTTACTGTAAGTAAATGTATTTTTAATGTATATTAACGACAAGTTTTAGACTTCCGTCATTTTGTGATGTCACAAGTCGTACAACAACCCACCAGAACCTGCGTTCAGCCCCATACCTAGCAACCCCCGGGTGAAACTCCACCTCCTCAGTATAAAAAGCCGTCACGGTTGTTGTTGCGTAATGCGCAGCTCATTTCACAACAAGCCTCCAATAGGGCAATGGGTAGAGTGTTGGACCAGAGAGTGGGACACCAGGGTTTGAGACTGGCATGGATACAATTTAATTTATTTATTTTCATTCATTATGAACACGTTTTCTCATGTACCTCTATTGACTCTGTTTGAGTTTCTGAGGTATTTTGACCACTGCTGCTCCCTGCTCTGGTAACAGCATGCAGAGTGAGCGCAGAGCAGAAGAGGGAGAGGAAAAAAAAGAAAGAAGCTGCGACCCTCTCTGCCTCTGGGTCTGACTGGGTCCCATATGGTTGTACAACAGAGCTTCTGCTATTATTGGGCATGCTAAGGTAAACACTGGCTTTGGAGGGCGGAGTTAATGTCAACAGATTTTTGGAGGGCGTTACCAACAGAGCTCATTAACATAAACAGCTCTTCTGAACAGAAGTCAGAGCAGGCAGAACTAGAAAATGGGAAATTTTATTATCTGAGAATTATTTTGTGCATTAAATTGAATGAACATGGTCTGGATAGCCCACAGACATACCATAAACATTTCTAGGATCCATAATTGGTCTCCTTTAAGTATGTCCTCTGAACAGTTTCCACTTTAATGAAACGTTTTGTCTTTCTTCTTAGAGACTTCTTCAGTCTGAGGAGTTTCAGGTGAACTCAACCTTATAAGCACTGCCTCCACATGGTGAACAAACAGGTTAATGATGACAATCAAAACTGTTTGTTCACACGTAAGAGGACCATCAGCTCAATGATCGATTGTTGGTGCCCTGATTATCCCTATTGTTCATTGAGGACCATCAGCAACTTATAAGGCTGAGTTTACCTGAAATTCCTCAGACTGAAGAAGTCTCTAAGAAGAGAGACAAAATGTGGAGGAGATCAAAGCCCCAAGAGCAGTTGAGAAGCAATATGTGGCCTCCAAGTGGCACCATTTGGTAATCAGAGTGAAGCCAATACATTTTTTAATGTTTGTAGCCTGAACTCAAATGGTGTTCTGCTATTGGACTTTGCTAAGCATGAGCTGTCCAATAAGAAAAACCATGTTCAAGCATAGGGCGGTCCATAAGTGTACTTAGTACCAGGCCCCTTAGGCTGAAGGCTGATCAATTTGTAATTGTGTCATCTGACCAGTGGCCCCATGTTTTGGACACTCAGGTGAAGAGAGGGGCAGAACTGTCAACTGATCACCATCTGGTGATGAATTGGATCCGATGGCGGGGGAGCTGTTGGACAGACCTGGTAAACCCAAATGCATGGTGAGGCTGAACTGGGAACCTTTGGTGGAGCCCCCTGTCTGTGCGGTCTTCAACTCTCACCTCCAGAAGAGTTTTCCACATGTCCCGGGGAGGTCGGACACATGGAATCCAAATGGGCCATGTTTAGGGCCTCTATTGCAGATGCAGCTTCTAGGAGCTGTGGCCTGAAGGTCATTGGTGCCTGTTGCGGCGGCAACCAAAGGACCCACTGGTGGACACATTGATGATGGAGGTCGTCAAGCTGGGGCGGCTGTGGTGTAGCGTGGGGCGGCTGTGGTGTAGTGTGGGGCAGCTGTGGTGTAGTAGTAGAGCAGCCGGCTTGGGACCCGAAAGTCTTAGGTTCG